CAACAGAGAATTTTCCTGTATGGATTAAATAGTTCTAGTGAATTGAAGTGTTGTTTATTGAATTTGGTGGCATATCAATTGTGAGTTTAAATCTCTGAGCCAGGCAGCGTGTACTTGGACTCAGTGGAAACAAGTCGAGCAATAATTGAACAGTACTGAAATTAAGAACTAGACGAGACATCCCCAAACATAGGCAGTGGAACGAGAATAGCCTAATTTAATCTGTAGATTAAATAAAGAGTTCATTTGGGAATTCCCTGTAGGTTACCCGGATCGATATACACCTGATGAAGACCGGAGGGGAAAACATCCGAAATGTGATAAAAACAGGAAAGATGAGGACAATAGTAAATCGTGAAAATAATATTTGTTGTGTGAAATATATTATTTTTATTATTAGATCATTATTAATTATACAGATAGATAGATAGATAGATAGATAGATAGATAGATAGATAGATAGATAGATAGATCGCACATTAATAATGATCTAATAAAAAAATAATCGCGGGGAACTACAATAGTTACTACCTGCTACTTCAGGTTGTTTATGATTAGTAGCAACATGTAGTAACTACTGTAGTTAAATGCGATTATTTCTATTATTAGATCATTATTAATGTGCGATCTATCTCTATCTCTCTCTATCTCCCTTTCTATCTATCTATCTATCTATCTATCTATCTATCTCTTTATACACACACACACACACACACACACACACGCACATACACACACACACACACACACACACACACACACATATATATATATATATATATATATATATATATATATATATGGCGAAGTGTACGTGTGTCCGTCAGTCCGTCCGCTTTTCGATCTCGGCGAATCACAAACAACTTGAAGTAACAGGTAGTAAATACTGTAGTTACCCGCGATTAAAAATTAAATAAATAGCTCATTTAAAGTAAAATTTAAATATCGAACAGAAAAAAAACCCTCTGTGTGTGTGTGTGTGTACATAGTTTGTAAGACCATAAGTATTAGACACCCAAGTAATATATATATATAATTATTATTACTATTATTATTATTACTTCAACTTTATTAAAGGTTTAACTTTAATTTCGTCTTTCAATGCAATTGCATTTGATATCGTTTAATTAAACCTGAATTAAAACTTAAACGGGCACTGTACGTTGCTCATGTTTTTTTGTTCATGTGGGGGGGGTTTTGAGGGGTGGGGGGGTTCTAGCACGCGTACTCTGACGTATTCGAAATATTACATAGTTCGTGTTGCCCAATATCTTTTAAGGGTGACTTTATGCGAAGGGATCATAAAGAATGGTGATTTGAAAAGAAAAGAAAAATTGCGCACAAAATAAATGTAAACAAACTACGGTGATCGGTTGCGTATACGAAGAAAGATTATGTCGAATAATTTTATTATTTCTAAATTCTTATAACTTTTACGTACATAGGACGCAGAAGGTAAAAGTTCGAAGGCTCAAAAGTCCTCCGCGGAAGCTAACGTAAAGTCCTCCCGGAGTTTGTCTTTTAGGCTAGAATATATATATATATATATATATATATATATATATATATATATGAAGAAAAATATATACGGAAAAAACTAACAAAAATCCTTATATACAATTTATACTGTTTTAATGTTAATATGTCAACGTCGGACGTTTCGGTCTAATAAACCATCTTCAGGACATTGTATATAAGGATTTTTGTTTATATATATATATATACATATATATATATATATATATAATTATTATCACTATTATTATTATTATTATTATTATTACTTCAACGTTATTTTTAGTGGATCACCATCTTTACCATCTTTGAACAAACGCTCTGTTTATTTATTAAAAAGTATATTTACTTATTTTCGTCTATAGGCCTGAATATTCAAATAATCTTATTAAAAAAATCCAGCAGGATTTGAACCTGAATATTCAAGCTGGTAAACAGAAATAAATAAATACAATGTTTAATAAATAAACGGAGCGTCTACTCAAATGTGGATATCCACTAAAATTAACGTTTAAGTAATCAAATATGTCGGATTAATAAATAAAACTCCATCATCTCTTTAGAAATTGCAATATATATATATATATATATATATGTGTGTGTGTGTGTGTGTGTGTGTGTGTGTGTGTGTGTGTGTGTGTGTGTGTGTGTGTGCATAGTTTGTAAGACCATAAGTATTAGACACCCATTGAGGATCAAACTCACCACTTTGTAATAATGATCTAAGAAACCTCTTTGTTCCCATTACACTATGACGAGTTACTATTCGAGACGTTCCCCAAAATGTCGGGGAACGTGACAGGGGTACTCTAGCCGAAACTTTTTGGAACAAGTGTGCAAACAACAAGTAGAAGACTACTTCGAAGGAGACGGTAAAAACTAGGTGTTAGAGATTTTTCATGCTCAACTTTCATTAACTTTTGAGTAGCATCTCGTATAAATTCTTGAATTTCATCAGAAGTATAAGCACATTATAAATGACCCT